CATATCATATCATATCATATCATATCATATCATATCATATCATATCATATCATATCATATCATATCATATCATATCATATCATATCATATCATATCATATCATATCATATCATATCATATCATATCATATCATATCATATCATATCATATCATATCATATCATATCATATCATATCATATCATATCATATCATATCATATCATATCATATCATATCATATCATATCATATCATATCATATCATATCATATCATATCATATCATATCATATCATATCATATCATATCATATCATATCATATCATATCATATCATATCATATCATATCATATCATATCATATCATATCATATCATATCATATCATATCATATCATATCATATCATATCATATCACTAAATCAATGATTTAAAACTATTTGCATTGTAACAACAATAAATACACCTAAGTCTTGCTGTAATATTCCTTTTTCTTTTGTTTTCTGGTTATCACTGTAGCAGAAATCCTGATGTAGGGATGGGAACGTTACCTTAACCCTATTCATGCGGGGCGGGGCCGGACCCCTTAGTTTTTTTTACATAACTCAAAAAGTATTGGTGCGTTTGTTAAACTTTTCTGCCTTTCCCTAAATAACCATATAGCCCTCCCTTTAGGTCTAAAACTGGGCTTTTATACAAACTGCCTGAGTCCTCAGGCGCACTGCCTGAATGACTGCTGTTTCCTGTATCAAACTAAATCTTTGTTTTGATCCACTTTCAGTGTCAGATTTTGATCATTTTTAGCTTTTTGTGAAAGCCTATGACATAAGGAAATGGATTGCACAAGTTTGGCAAAGATTTTTTGCACTTCAAAAGAAATTTGCACATGTTTAGTTTTTCTTAATTACACTTCAGGTTATTTAAAATTTTGCACGAATTTTTGCATGATTGAAATGGCATGACCAAGGGCTTTTAAGATATGTATATATTATTATTTTTGGGACATTTTTTATTTTACAAAAATTTTACTATATAACTAGATTTTGCAAAAAAAATCAATTTTTGAAAATTTGCAATATTCTTAAAGTAGAGCATAAGAGCTTTCAAATGATGTATCATTTGTCAACTTTGGATTCAGAGGTTGGGGTGGGGGGTGAAATTGACTCTCCACCCTAGCGTATCCTGGTTTTCAAAGGATAGGGTTTTTGATGTGCTCGTTTTTAAAACTTATCGGAAGATTCCGTTAACGAACTGGAAAAACCGTTAAAATTAAAGTCGTTAGTGAAATGAAATAGTCATTATTAACGTATTGTAAAAATAAGGAACGAATTTGTTTCAAAAAATATTAAACATAAATTTTTCATTTTTTGATGCATATTTTACGCGTTGTGTTGGTTTTGAATATTGTCTTTAAATTTTCACAACAAACAATCGTTAACGGCGGCATCGCTAATATCTTCCATGAACGCTGTTACTAAAATTAAGATCGTTAACATAAAATAATTATCTTAAAAAAATACGGAAAATACTTTTAAAAAAAACAATTTTCTGTTTCTAAAATATATTTAATTTTAGTTCTATTCATTCAAAAAGAACAACAATAAATTAACTTCTTGCTAAAAACTACTTTCATATTTTCTTTTTCTTTGTTTTGTATAATTCAGCGTATTGTTTTCCAAATTATACAAACAATAAACTCTTTTTCCTTTTAATCACGCACATCTGGCAGTTCGGAATTAAAAGGACTGTAAACGTAATTTTAAATGAATCTTCATGTCCAATTCACAACTGTACTCTGTAAACTTCGTTTGATAAACGCTTGCATAAAATATATATTTTTGATATAGATTGGAATCATATTAGAATGTAGAAAATAAAGTATTTTTTCTGTAAACAGCTAGATATAATCTACTGATTTCAATTTAAACGAAATTAAAACTTAATTTAGCTTGAGATCTTACAAATTTTCTCACTAACATCTTTTTTAAGGTCTATTGATAATTACGTGTAAAATCCTTACATGTTATTTGTGGCTTTCCTGGAGGGAGGGGTGACTCAGTCCCCATTGTCCCCCTGCAGACGGGGGGG